AAAACCATTGAAGTAACGAGGATTTGTTGACTCGTATCGAGAGTAAGAATCCACGCACACGACGGGAAATTGGGCGACCCTGCAGTGACAGAGAATGACAGGATTACAATTGATATAAAATGTATAACTTTTTGAACCGTAATCAAAATAGGTAAATCTATTTGACATTTTATTTCATCAATTGAACTTTACCTTATCAAGATGAATTCAATTAATGGAGTATGTGGAGGCTAGATTTTTTATTTCTGACGGTATTTTGGTAGTATTTTTTTAGTGATGTAAAAGTTAATGTAGCATGATAAATGTATTTGTTTTGAGCGCAAAGATATAAAATCAACTAATGAGAGGAATATTCTTCAGAATCCTAAATTTCAATTTGACAAATGGTAAGAATCGAACCACAAAACATGCTAATCCCTTCTAACTGCTCTAAAACTGCTCAGGTAAAGTGATCTTGTGTACATAGTAACCCAGTTTGTAATTCATTCACGTGACCTTTAAAAATGACAGAATCCAGTGTAAAAATCGGTTGTGAACGCCCACTTTCCAAGTACATACCCTCCCCTTCAAAAAGCGAGAAAGTGTCGGGTGCAGACCATGCACCACAAGTGACGACGGCCTTCACAAAATGTTGTTTTCTGCCAATGAAATGATTAGCCTGTTGCAGTTGTATTCTATCATTGTCACTAATTACAACTATCATTTACCAGAAATCAGCTATCACTATGAACAACTTCTAACCAGATTTACTTGGAGGCCGTCGTCAGTTGTGGTGTTTGGTCTGCACCCGACACTTTCTCGCTTTTTGAAGGGGAGGTTAACTTAATGAGTTCTCAAATATGGATTAAATACTGTGAAATTAATTTCATTCTATTCATTAATCAATATTGGATCGAAAATTTACAAGAGTGAAATAGACTCAAACAAAGTGGTGAATAAGCTCCAACAAAGATTGATAATGGTTACAAGATTTATTTGGCTTAGGTGGTGGTGAGTTCGCTGTAGTTCGCTGTAGTTTTGTGAGTGGAGGGAAAAAAGCAAAAAAAAAGCAAAAAATAAAAATAAAGGGTAAAAGCTAAAAAAGGTTCCCTAGTACTAAAACCTGGTTTTTGAGTGCTTATTCATCCATTTTACTACAGATCCTCGAACGCGCTGAGAACGATCCGAACATTCCTGTCGGTGCACCGCTCTTCCTTGAAGATCTTCATTCGAATTTGATGGTCGTTGAAACAAATTAGCCACCTAAGCGTTTTTTCCTGCTAGCATTTTTATTCGGTTGCTACGTGTGGTGGATGGGTAGAGAGCTGCCGCATCGTGGGTGACTGGAAGCTTGAACATTTCGTGATTTTTCAATTTCGGAAGCCCTTTGTTGGGTCGGGTTTCAGGCTCAAGTATGAATGACTATAAACAAGAATGATTGTTGTTGGTTGGACTCGCGCAAGGATTTTGTAACGGAAATTCAAGCGAAAAAATGTGCCCGCTATTGCGAGTCGAAGTCAGAAGCATGGCGCATTTCAAGCAAACAGAATGAGAGTGGATTCAGCTCTTCGAAGTGTCCCTTGAGCAGCGTTTTGATTTCTTGACCATTTTCATGCTTTACAATTCTCACCGTTAAACGGTTCACCGGTATTATTTCTCACAATCATTGCCATGTAAGCGTGTTGATTGGGATATATTAGAATTTGCCTGGGAGAACTATAGCGTCTCGGGAAAGAGCCATAATATGCTCCCTTCTTCTTCCACTTGGTGTACCTCGGATGCTCGTAGAGGTAGAATATGCCTTTCGCTCCAAACAAAGGTCCAGCGCTCATGTTGTTGGGGGTGGGGATATTGTGAGTGAGCCACTCACAGTACTTGGAACTAGGCCTTAGGGAGGAAAGAGATCCGCCTGAGGAAGGAAAGGGATCCCGGGGGGAGTTTGTAAGCGATTTGGTGTTTTCTCCCGGGCTTACAATTAATCTTAGGGTCACCTATCGGTTTTTGAATTCCTATGTTTTAAATGTCCCCTCTCCCCCCTCAAGGACATGAGCGCCTAAAAACCAATCTTCCTAGCTGCACTCTACTCCCTTGAAACCATAAGGTGTTCCTAACTTGAGGACGTCTCCTTTTCATACTTAAAGGAAGTGGTTACGATAAAGAGGGAGCGCATCGGGGAAGCATGTGCACCACACGAATCAGTTACTTGGCTGCCAGGGAAGCGAGATGTGGCGCTTTCACAGCGAAAGGTGCGCTGGTTGCTGTCATTCGGTCAGAAAACTTTAATCAGACTTAGCGCCATTTTCTGTGTAGGCGGCTGATCTTCAGATCGGTATCTCTGTCCATAGGTATAAGCTGGATACCAGCTACCCAGCTATGAAGGTATACAAGGCTCGACTGACCTAAGCAGGAGCCAATGCTAACGGGCAGTTCGTTACCTAGGACACCCTTACCTCTTCCACCGTTTGTTGGTGAGGTGAATAACCCCATTATTATAGGCCAAGAACGCCATCTCCAGCCGGCTTGTCACCGCGTCGTACAAAACCAGGCACAAAGAGTCCAGTACTTCTTTCACCAGGACCGAGAACACTCCATGGAGGTAAGTAGTTACCTAAAGATGTTCGTACCAAACTGGTCAGGGTAACCCTAAGCTTTGCCTTGGTTTCCGCTTTCTCTCTCGCTGCACAACATCTTGTCTCCGTTGTCTAAGCTTACACCTTTCTGGGAATCTAATTTTCGGCAAACACTGACAATTGCACGTTTGCAATTAATCATGCCTTCGGTGTCTTGGTTTCGGTTTTGGCTATTTGTGTTTCTGAGTTTGAGGATCGGTCAGGCAAGGGGTTAAATAGTGGTTGGGGAGTTCTGACGCCTATAAAGAAAAGAAAATCGGAAAATTCATAGGGTCAGAAACACCCCATCCTGCAATGGAATAGTCCCCACCGAGAGTTTTTTTCCTGAAACTCACCTATCGCTTTTCCCAAAGAAGCCTGACTGTTCCTTGAAGGTGATAATCGCGACGAAACGTGGCAAACCCGGCTTCTTACCGCCCGGTGAGGTAGCTCCGGAACTCGACGATGAAGATGCAAAGATGGACGAAAGGAAGAAAAAGGTTGTTAATGAATATTATTATGCTCGATTGTTGCCTTATATGTGTGTGGACAAACTGGACTTGCTCGGGCTTCTGTAACTCTATCCGTTCCAGGCGAGACCATCGGCACACAGGGACGAATTCCAAGACCTACGCGAGAAACTGCAACGTGAGGATGATCGCCGCAAGGTGAGTTAGAAATCGAGCGAATCAAAATGCATTGAACTCGAAATAATCAAGAATTTGAAACCACAATCATTTACCGAATTTTTCATTTTCTAATCTCTACTTTCTCTTTTGAAATTCTACAACTGCTTGTTGATACCAAACTAAAATCTATCTGTAAATGAAGTCCTGAGGGCTCTTCAGGCTGACAGAGAACAGTTGGACCGATATCGCCCGAAGAACATCTACAAAGACGACCTTGATTTCGACCGCCCCGGCTACGATATTGACGATTCGCCGTGGGATTCGCACTATCAGGTACAAAGATTGCCTTCCTTCAATGAATCTATCTTTTGAAGGCAGCGATTACGTATGCTCGAAAAGGGTTTATAAAGGACGTGTTCATCTGCCGGAGACGCCGGTACCAGAACACCTTGGGCCATTGAATACTCTGAAAATTTGCCCTTAGGGATAGGTTGATCAGGGGATCAATGATATGACATTTATTCGTGGAGAAACTGATTGTAGGTTTGGGCACCATTCCTCTATTCAGGGTCAACCGTCCGTTCGAACTGTTCGAACGGGGGGGGTCGCATTTGTGTTCTGGGAGGGGAGAGGGGTCGCATTGCGCAGTTCTGCTGGTTACGTTTGGTCATCAGGGGCGCAGGGCATAGGTGCGTGCGAAAAAAGTTGCCGTTTCACTGGTTGTATATACCCCCCCGCTCGACGGCTATTTTTGGGGAAAAAGTGGGTGGAGTTTCGGAGTTTTAGGTAGGTTTTGGGCTGTGTCAACTGGTCTCAGAATCAAATACTATAGAAGAGGGAGAG